TCATGCATTCCATTGCAAAACATGTCACAACGTTCGTCGTGGTTTTTCCACCAGGTCGTCTCCACAGGGCGTCGAGGGCGCAAGCTTCAAGCAAAACTCATAGGAAAGACTGAGAGTAATGCGCATTGGGAAGGTTTAATGCGTCGTCATATTCCTGCCAAGCTGTTGATTCCGTGATTGTTTCCAATGTGCTTAAGGTGAAAGGTGCCTCATGCACATGCCATACACTGCGCCACTGAGGTAGTCCGTTGAGTGCCTCTTGGCCTTTTCATGCCTTTTCGCATCTGAACGCCATGCGCCAGGCGCATCCCGTTTGAGGAAGACGGAACATGAGCGATAACATACCCTATAGATTGGCTTACAGTAGAGTCAGTAGGTCAAAAACCTGTATAGAGTGCAAAACCAGAGTTGACAGTTAGTTGTTTATCTAGGTTATCGTCTTAATAATCGAATGATGTTGTGTTTGCTTCAGTATAGTTTTATCACTGCACCTCCAACAAGAGTCTGATATATATATATACATGTTGCCCCTTCAAAGTCAACCTCAAGTGTTGCTAGCAACCGGCACAAACATGAATGTTTGACAAAGCAATGTTTGACAACGTATGCAACACCAGGGGAGTGTCCGCTTGCAAGAGTTTTGGAGTGTTCGCTTGCACTCACCACAAAGAACAAAGACAAGGAGAGTGACATTGAGAAGTCATACGGATCAATTGAGAAAAAAGGAGAGCGACACTAAGAAGAGAGGACATAGGCAAGTTCTGAAAGGGGAAAGGGGACGAGAAAGGAATAACTCAAGAACAAAACGCACACCAAATATATCCATTAATTTCTAATTTAGCGGCTCACTTCCACAAACTCCACGGTTCTCGACCTCTGTGGAATGCACTGCGCTCTCGAAAAATCTCGACCCGCTGCTCTCGAGAATCTGGTACCAATCTTGCTTTCCTGGAGATACACCCTTATAGCTAGTTACTTGTGCTTCTTGTCATTTCACTGTACGTTTATAGTTAAATTACTGAATTCCACAGCCCCCCGAAACAAGTGCAAGTCTAAAAAACAGCCCAGCAGACAAACTCAAACACACACACACACTCACCTCGCTCCTGCGATTCCATTACTGGTCGAATCCGTCCAACCACGTCACGCTTTTAGCCCAAAACATGTGTAGGGTTGTGCAGGGACCTGCGACAACGCTGCCGCACGACCGCTTTTCGCACATCAACCATTCCTCGGCGTTCCGTACGTGCATGCGTATCCACCGACACGCACGCGCGTGAGGTCCTCGTTTGCATAACTCGGACTTTTTCTGAGGTAAACAAATCGCACAAGGACGAGCAAATCAAACCCCTGACATACTCAGTCACTTGTGCTGCTCGAGCTGAGAAAAAGTTAAGTCAAAGATGAAGAGCTACCTGCAGTGGAAGATTGTTGTCCATCGATCTACGGACAAGTCTATCTCGCCCAGGCCTCCGCTGCATGCAGGTGGCCGAGGAGAACTCCTCACAAGCTTGCAAAATGCCAAGTAAGAAAGAAACATAGATCGTGAGAGGTGGCTGAGATGGCCAGTTTTCCATGAAGGCCTCTGTGGCGGCCAGTGGTGTGTTTTTCGAGTCATTCTAGTCAGGTCTGCCAACCTGCAGTTGAGGGCTGTGGAGCCTTTGACCTACGGCCACATCACAGTAGATTCAAGACTTCGGTGTGAACATGGTTTGGAAAACCTTATGACATATGTCGACAGACCCACCAGAGCAGAGATGTGTCATTTTTTTGGCCGTGGTTCTCCCTGGTTTCTCCAATTACAAAAAGCAGGGCCATCACTATGGTGCCCGATTGTGAGTGGTCAAGCATAAAATTGGCTGGGTCAGAGCCAAGCTTTGAGCATGCAAGTGACAAGTGATGAGATATTAAGGAAATAACTAAGTATTTGTTGCAGTGGGCTCTGATGCTTTTCTTTTACTTTCCTTTGTTCTTTTCAGACGTCATGATATGCCTACTATTCCGTGTTTTCAGTATTTCCATCAAAAAAAGTGCTATCAATTCGTATCCATGTTCTTTGCTGCTCAATATCCATAGTAGCAACATGTAACAACCATCACACTCATCCCAGTACCAAAAATATATTGCGTTCTCAAAAACACATAGCATACAGAAGCAAGTTCGAACTAGCGAAGCCTATGTTGCAAACCGATCGGTGTGCCGATCAACCCTCGTACTGGGGGAGTTTTCGTCCACCGACCTCCCAAGAAGCAAAACACCTGACCGACAAACCAACCACCATCATGAATCATTACTCATAACTGTACTGCCCTACTGATGGGTTCCCCTTCAGAACGTTCGACTCAATCCCCAAGACTGTTTCTTTGGAAAAAATAAACATCCTCTGATATATTCAATATGTTGTGATTGAATGTGATTGATTCGCCAAGAGGTTTGACGTTATCGCCGCCGTTGCCTTGCTCTACGTTGGGGGAGCCTTGCGTGGTCGGCTCAGCCAAATGAAGTTGAAGTTGTCTGATTGACGGTTTTGATACCAGGGGTTGATTGGATAGAACATCGAAACTCTGGCACAGGTCATCTACATGTCACATCACCCATTAATTAAAAGGTCTCCAAACTGCCGAGGAAATGCACAGCTTGCCCTTCTCAAAATGATTTCACTGGTTCAAGGGTGGATATGAGGTGTCTTCGGTTTGCCCTACTTAGTTCCACCCAAGAGGTTTCAAAGGAAAAATTCAATTGAGATGCCCATTGTCATCTCCTTTGACATCATCCTTGGCACTGAACCGACGCTGCCTTTGTAGGGAAGCCACTGTCGTCCCGATAAGGGAGCGGACATTCCAGCCCCCGTTTTTTATGATGTTCTGATCACCCACCAGGTCACACTCCATCTTGCGAGGTGTCACAGGTTGTGTCTGCACTTAAAGGAAAAACACAGAACAAAAACACTTATATATATGATAATGACAAGCGCAACAAACAATATAAATTAAGGCCAGTGTTCGCATGTGTTCGAAGGTGACGTGAAAGGCACGTCAGATGAAATAAAACCTGGCCTTGTTCTAGAAACTTAGCGAAACCGGTGGCGCAATACGTGGTATCAGAACACAAGTACTGCGATGGCACATGAATCAACTGCAAATGGACCTCAGACAACCCTTGGGACATGTCGGCCAAATACCAGTCATGGGGTAGGTGGATTGAAAACCAGTGGCATGGGTTGAGAAGAAGCGATTGAAGCGACATGACCGTTGAGAGGTGAAGAAAGGTCTAGACCAAACTGTGAGGGTGGATCAGGATTTGGCGCTCTTTGCACAACAAAAAAGAAGATTTGGCGCTGCACACGGCACAAACCAACACCCGACCAACATGAGTCCTCGACCAAACGCGCTGGGAGCACATCCTCTGTCACCTCAATGTCTCAAGTAGTCTCAAGGGATGGAAGTTCCATGAAGTTCCTTTCCAAATGCGAGGCCTGAACTACCCTTTACAGTACAGCAACGCGCAATTCAGAAAGCTTTGCAGGTGAAAGGAAGTGCTCTTGTTCGTAGCAGCTTCGGCGCAGTGTAAACAAACCAGAGGCCTTCTTCGCTTGGGTCAGGCGCCAGGAGTGAAGCCTTCTGACTTGCCTGGAGTCTGAACTATCTGCCGAGCTGCTTCCGGCAAACTCCCGAACCGAGCTCGAACCTTTGGCACGTGGCAAACTCCCGGCAAGTCCAGGAGTCAAACACATACCAAAGTGCCCTAATTATGCACCATGCGCCACGCAAATGTTGCAAGTCAGGAAGTTCTGATGCAATCTGAGCAAGAGCTGACCTCATAAGAACAAAGTTCATGAAAAGTTGGGTATGCAATTGTCGACAACGTCTCCAAATATCTCCAAATCCGCCTGAAGTATGCGGCATCGGGGTGGTTGAGACCGCCGTGCGCGCCTCAGCATTGGTTGAACGAAGTCCAAGAAGTGCAATGGTGTCAAGAAGAACACTCACAAATTGAGCTTGCCCTGGCTCTTGGCCTTAAAAACAAGTCTTGCAACACCCCTTATATAATGTAGACTGTTGATTAATAGAACCCCGCCAGAATATGGATTGAAAAGCCTCTTCATATGAGAGTTTAGTTTTATCAGTCTACATAGTTGGAAGACTACTTTCCTCTACAAACAGTGGGTTTTCCACTTCCATGTTAGTGAGTCGGAGTGTAGTTCAATTGAAACAACACTGCTTTTGAAATGCCCCCGCACAGCGGCCAGTCACTGCAACCGCGCCACTGACGGGCGTTTCCACCACGGGTGGATGGCCTCTGCGAGCAGCGCGGAAAGGCCCAATGACTTGGGCATCTCCATCACTCAAAAAACACCGGTAGATCAGATCAGAAATAAGAGCGAAACATATAGAAACTTGGAACTGGTGTGTTTTCCATGGCTTATGTTGACAACATCTTGCTAGTTTAACTGGGGAGAGACTCTTCAGAAAGAGATAATATCTTTCAAGAAAACGGGAAATCCAAAGTGCGTTGTTTCATGCCGATTGAATGATTGAAACGTGATGAAGATCGAAAAGCCCTGAGGCGTGGGCTTTGCCCTCATCCAATCCTGCAGCTTCACATCTGAGGCCATGAAAATAAACATGGACCTTGTTACCTAGTTGGTTGGCCAGTAGGTTCCAAAGGCATGCACTCCATGCAGCTTCGAGTCACAGCCCACCTGCTCCCACTGGAAAGTCAGGAAGGTCATGGTTTCGCGCGCCAAGGCAGAGGCAGCTTGAGCCTAAATGCTCTATGGCAAACCTGTGAATTCTCAGCATCAACTGGAGTCTTTCCAAGGAGAAGGGCCAGAGGCGCAAAAAGTGCGAGAAGAAGGGCCTTGGAAAGTTCGAGGTGCAAGATCAAACGATTTACCCGTCGGCTTTAAGAATTCTGAGATGTGGAAATTGTGACCACTGGACTTGGCGACATGGGAAATATCAATTCGCACCCCTTTCCATATCTCTATATCCACATTAGCGATGGCCTCCAACCTACTAGCGATGGCCTCCAACCTGGCAAGTACCACTGGCGTACCCGAAGGTGCACTTAGCATGAAAAACGGCCCCAAAAAAACAATGCAAATACATAAAAGCAAAGTGATTTGCTTCTTCATGTTAATTCGCTTTTCTTTGCTAATCTCGTTTTTTTCATACTGATTTATACTTTTCAGAGTCCATCAGTTCTTATTCTTTTAAAGCACGAGTGACGAAATCGCAGCAAGCTGTGGTTGGCCAATGCATCAAACATGGCCCACCGTTCGCATGCGGAACGCAAGAACTGTCCACCGTTTGGTGTCGCAGTGAAACAGCCAGAAAACCTAGCTCAGGAGTGCATAAATGGCATCGGTCTTGGCAAACCCTGATGGTCGTGGCGGGATGGCAAAGGCCAAATGCTGACATTCAAGGGAAACCGGGTGACAATCCTGTATGAGTGTCCAAACTACTGGGTGGAACGTACCCTGTATTCCGGAACGTACCATGAGAGTCTTTCATGTTGGCATCTCGGGTGTTTCGTTGGAAAGATGATGGTGCCTTTTTTTGGCAGCTTCGGCCAAAGGTTCATTGGCATTCATCGGGACATAGTTAGAAGCTGGTCATTACTTCCGATCGGTCAAAGGAAGCCTAGTCTTTAGCATGTTAAGTCCATATAAACCCGACTCCCTGGCGAGAAGAGTGGCCCTAGCAAGCAGGGTTCTGGGGATTGTAACTACCGGTTTATACAGGCTGAGAAATCCACTTTTGGGACTATCAATCCGGACGTTTGTGGTGCAACATGTCTTGAACATACAAATTGATACTGTATAATGAAGTTGCAGCATGTTGCAGCCATATGTGAAATAAATCTTTCATATTCATTTAATAACGTGTCTTGCTGGGTAGCTGGGTAGCCTTCAAATATTATACAATTCCGTCCCCACCTGAACCATGAATTGGATCTGACTCTTGCTACCCTGAACATACTTTACCTTGTTCCACGTCCGAAGTTGCAAATGAGTAACCTGCAAATGTCACATCGTGCAAACCCTTTTCAACATGAACTGGAATGCTTCACATCGCATCCATTTGGAAATCTCTGTACCGCCCACAAGCACGGGCTAAAACCATTTCTCCCACCTGAACGCCATCTCGGAAACGGCCCAAAGCCTCAATGGACAGGACAGGACACCCTCGGGAAAACCTACCCTGTTTGCTCACCTGAGATGTGCCACTGACGTCGAATTATTCCATGTGTTCCATGGCAATCCACGCTTGGAATTCTCTGGGTTTGCCATGCAGAAATGTCTAGGAGGATCCTCTGAACCATCCTGAAGCGAAAAACCTGTGACTTCACAGAATGATCTCACTGCCACACCCAGATCGGCGTAACCCACGCTAAGGCACCGTGGTGGCTGGGCTAAAGCATTTGCCCAGCGACTGGCCGGCGGCTCAGGGGCGGCGTCGTTGAAGAAGCTGCGACACGTGTAACCCTCAAAGCTTGGGGAAGTTCAAGTTCGTGTGGCTAAAAGCATTCTCATTGTCATTGGATAGAACACCCTTGTCCTTGCAGGCAGGGGCGGGGGCGTTCCACCAACAAAAGGAATGGCTGGGGCCTATGGCCACCAATGCATATGTCCATGGAAGCAGTTATCAAAAGAATCATTTCCCTCCTATATATTAGATATTATTAGATGACCTCACTGTCACTGCCTACGACTCAAGGATCGAGGGTGGATGCTATGAAACCTGCAGCAAATGGTCCTGGGTGACTGAGAAGACTGGTTTTGATGTGCGTTTGGGTCATCAATGTGCTTGAAATAACAAGACACACAAGGAATTGGACTGCCCACCCAACGCGAACGGCCGCGTACGGTGCCGTGCACGGCTGCAACAAAAAAATGGCGTCCCGACCAGGTTGTTCGTACTGAAGCCCGGCCTGAGAGGAAGGCATCTTGAAACGATGTCGTGCGAGCAAACCTTTGATGGGTTACTTGATGAGGGCTCTAACAGTCTACCTACCTTGGCTCTTCAAAATCCTTCCGACTAAACTCCTTCATCAATTCCTCCAGCAGCCAAACAACTTCAAAATGGAGTGTTTCTTTTACAAACAGGCACAAGTATCCCAGCTGGCCGTACTCAACACGTCAGTATACGTGCGTCTGTGCTTACTACTTACCCTTTGCCTCACACAGAACAGACACAGACTACTGCACACAGGCAGGTTCTGCCCACCAGCTGTAGAGTTTTCGGGTGATGAATTCGTCAAGCTGTTTCCCAGAATCAAACATCAGCAAATACAGGCAGAACAGACATGTCATTCTTCACCACACTTCTCTGCTGCCGTCTCAAGCACGTGTTTCCACACCGAACAATCAGCTGTCCACCATCGGGCCGTTTCCGCTCTAGGCTTGAGACACAGTTACCCTGGAGCTTGCCATGGATCGAAAAACAGTCTATTTTCTGAAAAAAATATGAATCTGATGAATTCCTGAAATATGAAATGAGAAAACCAACTTTCGGAGAATACAAGAAAAATATGAACAACATATGTTTTTTGTATTATTTTCATATTTTTCTCTATTTTCATATTACTTTCATATTTTGTTCATATTATGTTCATATTTGTCATAAACATATAAACAACCATATTTTTCTACATTGTCAATTTCATAGTTTTTCATATTTTTTTTTCATAAAAACAACAACTAAATCCAAGAATCCCTATCCTCCAGGGATACATATGTCTCAACTCTAGGCCGGTACAACCTTGATCTCCGGGTACCCGGGCACATAACCTTGATATCCTGGAAGATGCGTGCCTGGTTTGCATAACGATGAAGATATCGATGGTGTTTTTTTTGTGCGGAAAGAATTTCAAGCCGAAGTTGCTGCACGGAAAGTCATAGAATGTAGGCTATTCCTGTGGATTGAAGATGCCAGTAGTGCTGACTGAGGTATGATCCGCAACAATCGAGGTACCTCTAGAAAAGCATACATATATACATATGATAATGATCAAGATTCCACTGGAGTGCCCATTTGTGGGATGAAAAGTCTTCGTCAATCTGTTTGGGGCCACATTACCCAAGGGCTTTGAAGGGGAACCCTCGTGGCCAGAATGTGGATTTTTATGCTTTGACTCTTGACCACGACATATCATGACATGTATTGACTAATATTGACTATACAACCAGCAAGAATTGAATCTCAAAACTGTGGTTGTTCAGGTGGGTGGTGGCCAAACTTTGAAGACTGGCTGGAGGTTGGATGACTTGCTTCCAGCTTTGTAGAAAAAGCGTCGGCCAATCTCGCAGGACCGGACGCACTGGTCCAGCAAGCGCTCTCCTGACGTTCATTCGTGACATCAATGTGTGTGTGTCCTTAGATTGTCTGTCGCTCAGGCGGCTCAGGGCCGGGGGGGTTAACCGGTGAAACCGTGGTTGAGTCGAAAATTCCCGAATGGATGGCCCAAAGTGGGGTTTTTATGTGCTAATGTTCATGGCAATCCAGTCCCTGTCTGTGGAATTCCCACCAACTGGAACCAAGAAAATCCTGTAACTTCAGGGAGCACCATAAGTGGACTCATCCATCTCAGGTGCTGCCACCGATCCGATTGTCCCAGTCCACCGTACTTCAGGGCTCCAACCACCAGAGCTTCGGAAACCAACCCCGAAGCATGTCCCTGTCTCGGCTCCGTCTCATCACCGGTGTTGTGTTGTCTGGGTCTTGGTGGTCGACCCACCGAGACCTCCGGTTGGGTCCCCACCTCTTAGAGGCTGCGTCCCCTGATCGTAGCAATTCTTCTCAAAGCCACGGCCGCCAGTCCTCGGCCATGAGAGGTGGCACGCCACGAAACATCACGAAACATGCGTGGGGCTGCCGGCCGTAGACCTGCTTCTCCCAAATAAAAGAACATCGCCTGTAGTCTATAAACAGCATTGGTCAGTCGATTTGTGGTGTTGAGTATGTTGTGTTTGATCCTTTCAAAGCGAATCAACGGATTGCTTGAATATATCTTGCCTTTGGATTCGGCGCGAGAAGCCACCTGCTTCGTGCTAAACGATGCCTTACATGCAAAAGGATGTTCTCTTTAGACAGGTCTCCACAAGATGGTACAACGCCCAGGTGCATTCAAGGCCAGTGGCTTGCACTCCACACCATCAGAGAAGGGACACGATTCTTGGAAACGTCCATGGAAAGCCCCATGGATTGGCTGAAGCAATGTGGATTATCTCTCTTTGCTTGCTTGATTCCACCTTCAGCTTCCACACCATTTGGCCTCTTTACCGCAACAAGCCGACTCACCATACTTCGTCCACGATTCACCCCAGAGAGACCCATGATTCACCCTCAAGGTGTGGGATATGTTGGCCTCCTTTTTGATCCTACCTTACGAGGTCCTTGGAGCCATTTGGGTTAATACCAAGTATATCACTGCTCATCATCCAAGCTTAGCTGACCCTTGACATCTTTGTCACACCTGGACCAGCCGATATTCAGCACCCGCGGGCGCCCACCCGCGCGAGAACAGCGGGGTCCCCCACAGGACTGCCGTGCAGTTGCTCAAAGCATTGGTCTCAGGATTGGGGTGAAGCATTGTGCGTCGGAGAGGGAAGCTATATCTCTTCCCCGCGAACTTCAAGGAGCCACAAGCAAACTGGCCAACTGTGGCAACATCTCCAACCAACCCTTCTGTGAACTGCTCCATCTGAAGGACTGCTCTGCTCCGGTGAGTTTTTCTTTGGTACTACTGCCACTCATACTTCTTAGTCGTCGCACGTATCCAACTTTGTAGCACACAGAAACCATCTGTCCACCTAAGACATGCATGAGATCTTTGTTGCACTCTCTGCAGGAACCTGCTCTGCTTCATCACGAGTCAGGATGACCTGCAAAATCCACCGACCAACCGACCAAACACCTCGCCTCTCCACCGACATGACCGCGAAACGGGGCACCCCCACATGCCGTTGGAACGTGGCCATGGCGGGTGAACTGGCCTAGGACAGCGCACCGGTCCGAAGGAAGGTATGAAGAGTGGAAGGGGGGGGGTTGTTTTTAGAAAGCCAGCGACAAGCCAGAACTACCTCCCTCTTAAAAGGATCCTGGGAGGTTGTGGGGCACCAGGAGTTCCAAAAAGGAAGTTTTTAGACTCTAAGATTCTGCCTTGCGAGATGACTCTCATGAACTGGTAGTCAGGGGCTGTCCAAATGAGAGCTTGAAAGGAAGGAAAACAGGGCACCTACTTTGAATAGGAAAAACTCTATTAACATGTTAATTTGTACGTTGGCCCAAAAGGATCCAAAAGGAGTATGTTACATGTTCATACAGAACCCACTGCCGCCCCACTGCCATCACCCCATGAAGATGCCCTTGGCAATGGCAAGGTGTAGTCCAGAAGGAGGCACTTGGATTATATCCGCTTCTGGGATGACGTGTCATGTATGTCTGAATAAGTCTTCCACTTTTACCAGGAGCGGATTTGACTGCAAGGTTTCAAGTATCAATGTTTTGCAATATGAGTGGATATGGACCACGCCCCGTGGAAGATCACAATAATGAATCATAATGAATCATCCCTGATTAATTAATGCTGAACCTGATGAAACAAAAGAAAGCCGGACGAATTGAGAAAAAACTCCACAAGCACGACAGGTCCCGGACAAATTGAATTCCGGTTTCACGAGAGCGGATTCCGCGTCCGTTTCCTTTTCGCTTTGTCTCAGCTTCCGACGGATCGCGAGAGCGGATTGTGGTACCTGGTGAGAAGACATGCTGAGACGAGTTGGTGATCCATAACAAAAAAAACTGCTTGGGGTTCTGCTTGCGTTCTGCTTGCACCTTAGACTTCATGTCATTGTCTAGGTTGTAGATAACGCGAGAGTCAAAAAGACCTCAAGGTCAACACTTACGTGTTTGCTGGCTTGTAGCAGTTGGTTTGGACCACCCAGCACGTGTCCGTCGATAAATCAGTCACCTGGGCGCACCTGTTGCCGTCCTCAGGGTTGAAGAGATCAGCGGTATGAGTGAAGCCAACGGCCTGAGAGATGCAGAAGGTTGCCATCTGGCTGTGGGTCATGGCACCAGGATACCTTGGTTGACCTACCGACGGAACTTGCGCATCGATCCAGAACGCTTCCCAAAGGCCCTTTATCGTATTGATGGGTACCTGGGAGTTGTTGAAATTCCCCGAGTGCATAGGACAGGTGCCTACGCATCTGAACATAAATTGGATTAAATTGGCACGTGCCAAAAAAATTCGTCAAGACGATACCGCTAACTAAGTGAAACCGAATATCCGCGTTGCAAACAGGTGGCATCAAGCTCGAACGAAATTTACGAATTTACGCATCTAATTTTTCGGCATGGGTGGAACCAAAGCGTCAAGATCACCCCCTTTGTTCCAGACCTCCCTAAGTTTCTTTCAAAAATGGTAGCACTGGGAATACCGACGGGACTTGCGCTCCGAGTGTCTGCGCTTCTCTAGGCCCTTCGTCATAGGACGGGTACCAGAGAGTAGGGGACGTATCCAACAAAACATGCACTGTACACCAAAATACCAACTGACTGTCTATCTATGTGAAACCGAATATCCGCGCAGCATGTAGGACAGTAAGTTGGACGAAAGCATCTAATTGGGTGCAGCCGGTGGGGCTAATTTATCGAGATCCAATCCTTTGTTCCATAGTTCACGAAGCTTCTTTCGAAAGTGATAACATTGGGAATAGTCCAAATTCCCCCCCCATCTGAGTTGTTAGTAGCACATTGACGTGGTTCATGATTACCATGCCTAATGGATGAAAAGGGGGGGTTCGTACCCAAATTTTCTGCATACAATTGGAGGGTCTTTTGAACTGCCTGAGAATTAGAGATCTCCGGGCGTAGGGGGGTTTCCCCCCCGGTATAGGTCCGTCCCCACCCGGCTTGAACCAAGCTGTTGGAAGCCGTCTTGTGAAATTTTGGGTACAAAGGTGTAGGACTGAAACCTTGCAATTATTGGATAATAATTCGCAATGCGTCTGCTTTGTTCTCGCAGGGAACGCATAAAACCTACGGAATGTTTTTCGCTACGTGATGTTTGGGCTCCAGCTTTTGACCCATCCCTATATTATATAGAGTAAGACGTCGGAGGAACTACAATGTTTCTCTTTAAGACTGTTTCTGGCCAACATCCAAGCTGCTAAGCTGCTGATAAAAGATTGAACCAAGAGTTTGGTTCGGGAAGGAGACTGTGACCCGCACGCGGAGAAGGGGAAGAATCAAAAAAAAGAACTCAAAAAATGGACGTGAGGCTTGGGTGTTCTTTCGGGGTAACTCGACAAGTTTTGACCCACATTCCAAGATATTCCAAGTGTACCGTGGGAACTTGTTCACGCGTGAACCCGGTTTCAATGGTTCGATCAACTGCTGACTCAACCCCCCCTGACTCAATGTCCCAGCTGTAGCAGGAAGCAACTGGGAGCCCTGCCAGGCTGGGAGACGGACCCGTAAGTGCCTTTAACCTGACGCAAGGGCTGGAAACGCGGCTGCCCAGGGCCGGCTTCTGGAAAGATCATCCTTCAAAGCAAAAACCCTGTACCGAGGGGCAGATTTCGATGACCTGATGAAAAAAGGAGCGCAACAGCTGTCAAATTGTTGCTGTCTTGGAACAGTAAAACCATGTACAAATATACTGTGTGTCTTGTTCCAATGAGTCATTTTGGTTGTTCGTGCCAGGCGTTGAACTTGCGATTGAGGTGTATTTGACTGCTCCAGCAATGGTTATCCATCTGGGTGTCCATTTACATATCAGTTCCAGCTTCTCTTTGGCTCCAATTACAAGAGACTGCCCAACAATGCCATAGCCAGCCTAAGCCATCCTAAGCCTACTGTTCCAGGTGAGTGGTGTTCACCGGTGGTGTAGTCTGTCTTAAACTGGCATCTCCTCCATTGGCTACGCAGCCCTCATGCAAAGCAATTTAACGAACTGTTTGAGAGCTTTGGCTTTGAGATTATAATGCGTGCCACGCGACGAATAAAGCTTTGGACCAGTCGATCTGCAAACAGTATAGGGTAGGGTTCCAGAAGCCACCTTCCACAGTTCCATCGTTGATTCACTGGACACCAAGCGGCCCTAGCATGAAATGAGTGCCACTGATCACTTACTTGGGAAAGCCAAAAGCCGTTGCTGGGAACTCAAGCTTCTTGACATATCAACTTTGCAGACCATGACACGCAGTTCTTTCATGTTCTTTCACTCTCATCCACCTTCACCGTGAGATTCCCTTGCTTTGAACTTGGTTTTGTGGCACTGCCGTGGCTTCAGACAATCTCCATTGGTGGCGACAAATAGGGCGCACTCACCGACAAACAGGGCTGGACTCGTTGGGCGGACGTTTCGGGCGACCCTACGGTGGCTGTTTGAGAAGGACCTGCAAACTAACCCTGGACAGATGGAATCCGATTGAGAGGACAAGGGTGTAAGGTCTGAGTCATAAATATAGTTGTACGTTCGATAGGATTGAGATGGTAGCAAAGTGCCCTTCCAAAGTCCATGTGAATCTATGTGAAACCACTGCACAAACTCTCGGTAAACATGTAAACAGTGCGTCGAAAGACAAAAGCCGGGGTCCTAGCTCTGGAAGCTCTGCGTTCCCTACAAGAACTACAAGCCCGGACTCTATTTTGGTGTCCCTGTGGACATGGGGGATGAGAACTGCTTAGTCAATCATTGTTGTTCCTTTCCCCTGTGTTTCTAAAGGCCTGACCATTTCCAACTTTGCCCTATATATGTTCTCACCATCAACTGATGTTTTTGCACATTAAAGTGGGATGAATAAAGCAGGATGAACACGGGTCACGCAGTCACGCCCCCATTTGAAACCTTGCTTCATCGATCCAAGAGTTTCGCCCCCTGTGTCTAGTCAGGGCGATGTTGGGAATGTGTCGACCTTTCTTTTCGTCCAACGAGTCCACAACATTAGACATGTCTCCAGGTTTTGCTGTACAGGCTGTACAGGCTGCACCTTCCTGCAGACGACGTGCTCTAAAAAACTAGAGTCAAGGATGAGGATTCTCAAGTGGCACAGGTCGTTTAGTGGTCGAGGCTCAATCCCTGGTCATGAAATCCAGGATTTGTTGTGGGAGTCTTGAAATCTCCTAGACGTGTTGATCTGACACAAGCTTTTGGAAGGTGCTGCAAAGCTCTCTCCAAAGATGCAAGTTCGGACAAACAACAAAAACATAAAACCATGCTAGAACAATCCTGAGTTTTCTATGAGGGTGACTGCAGCGCTTCAGCAAATCTTTAAAAAAAGAACACAGGAAAAGTAATGACTGTTATCACTGTCACTTATATAGACAATTTTGGAGTAGTCCTTGGTTCGGGCAATGCAAGTCAGACGCGCCAAGGGCGCAAACAAATATACACAACATTAAACTGCCAAGAATGTGATCCAGAAGAACCCCCACCCGATTCCTTGGGAGCTCCGGCGGAATATGAGTGAGTGAGAAGCGAATTAGCTGAGCGTTTGCAAGGCCTCAAAAGCGGTCATGCGCCGTGCAGGGTCCAGAACCAGCATCCTGAGGGCTCGTGTCCAAAGGGCATGGGCCTGCATAGGCCATCTATGTTCAAACAAGGCCTTGGGCAAGAACGAGAGAGACTATTATGTAATGCATGCTGCAAATATCTGCAAATCAAGTGTGTTATCTCCGAAGGTTGGATCTTGATTGATCAAAGCCAGGCTCCAAGAAACTCTTGGAACATCATTGAATTCAACTTCTTAGGGGTAATCGGTTTTTGGAAGACTCTTTTTTTCATTTATCCGACTCTGTCGGAAAGCGCTCTCATCTCTTTGGTGCAACAATTGCGCTCCTCTTCACCAACTGCTCCAGCTGTCGTCGCAGCAGAAGCTGACCCCGCAAGCGGCTGCCCCGCAAGCGTCGAGGCACCTGCGAAAACGCCGCCGCAAGCGGAGGAAACGCCAAGGTTTGGGGTGACTTCCCCGGAACGGAACCGGAATCCGAACCAGAATTGAATATTGCTTGTATATAATATACACAAGCATACTGAAACATGTGATATGGAGCTTGCAAGGTCTGCTTTGTTCATACAAACTGAGATCCAGCTTGTACTTTGCAACATGCAAACTTCATGTCCTGCTCTAAACGGCCATGAGATTGTTTTGGTGCTCGCGTTGTCATGAATCGGGACCAAATGTTCTCCACAACGCTTTGCTGAGTGCTGTGTCACGAGTTCACACAACCAGTACTTCTCATTAACTGTTACCTTGCCACGCGCTGGAACTCGAGGAGAGTACCCGACAAAGTGGAACGAGGTTCGTCGGTGTAACATGCTGTAACTGTGGCTGAAAGCACCATGTCTAGAGGGGAAATCAGGGAAAAAACACCGAAACAAAGCAAGGCCACGATATGTTCCAAGAAATGCGGATCGTAAGAGAGAACAACTATCTAAAGAAAGGAGCTTATTCACACATCGGACTCATGTTGCATAGGCTCGACTTCCCCACCATGCGCAGGTTTGTACCAAATGTCTATACTGCATGTATACCCAAAGTGGAAGGTGCTGGATAACCTATTCCGGTCTTACAGAGGTTTCAGAGTAGATGGCACAACCCCCAAGAGGTGTTTAAAGTAATATGTTTAAATCGACCCTCATCAAAAGGCTCGTGGTCTATAAGTAAGATTGTAACATCTACTCTGATCAGGCCCGCACTCAAGTAATAGCAATGAATGGCCTCCAACCTAGTAGCGTCCAACCTATTAGTCACTATGGTACTCCCTGCAATCCAATCAAAGAGATCCAAGAACCTTTCCAACTTGGCCCAGGAGCCCCAAGCCACCGGCGTCGCTCCAGATCATAGCGCCGTGCGCGCCAATCACCCAACAAGCTTGGTGGGCTTCGTGTCAGGCTTTGCCTGGCTAAAGCACCAAGTTTCGCTCAAACCGCGAGAATGAGGGCAGCATGATTGCTTCTCCTTGATTCTACTCGTGTTGGCTGCAGCATGTTGAAGCCACATCTGGAGTGCCATCAAACCACTAGATGTCGCTCATGCCTGGCATCGACCATCACATCACCTGGAACATATCATTATCCTAAGGTTTTACTCCGGCCAGCCAAGCACCTTGAAGTCCCGACTGTCGACTAGACTAGAACTTCTGATGAACTTGGATTTGGGCGGCTGATCTGCACACCCCATCCAGGGCATCACTGATGCTTCCTTCAAATTCAGCCAACCAAACCTCCTCAGCTTGTAGACCACCGGGGCATCCTTCGCTCGGGGGCGTAGAGCATCCAACGCTTCCCGCAGCGCCGAAGCCCATTGGAAGAGGAAGAAGCGCCCGCGGGCGCCCCGCCTCACGGGGTGTTGACGAGTCGTTTCTCACGGTGGTCCCGTGGGAGGTCGAAGACACGCCTTTGAGGGGGAAACGGCAATGGATCCGAGGATCTATGAGAATCAATATGGTGGACAAAAAAAGGGATCCGTGCGAGCGGCCTTGGACTCCAGTCCCGAGTAGCAAGTTTGGAACCGGGGTCGATGGCTGGGAGTCCCGACTTGGGAAGTTCCCTTTGTGGTCTTGGCTTTCCTGGTTACAAACGCCAGAATTACCCACCTCGCTTGCTCTTGCTATGACCCAGCCATCCTAGAGAGCCTTGGGTACTAGTACACCAAAAGAGTATATATATTCTTCCTTACATCCCGGAGCCCCTGAGATGGAGGACATTCCAGTGTTTGCAGATGTTTTGCACCATATGACCATATGTCATTTTTCAATTACAACGTACAAAAACCATTCTCTTCTCCAAATGAGTGGAATAGAGTGGAATATAGCGGAATCATAGAAATACTTCAATGGATTCCTTTCTCCCAGCTACTGAATCCAGCTACTGCTTGCTGGATTCACCATGATTCACTCCGCCGAACTCCGCTGAACGACTCGCCTCCGCGACCCGGAGGCTTTGTGTTCGCGGACGCGCTCAAAGAACTCGCTGGTCTTGGAGCCTCCATCAACGAAGGTGGATCGATTGCAGCCGAATCACTTCGCTTTCTGAGGTATTGGTCGGACCCCAAGTGCTGCGCAGCACGTTGGGGTCGTACATTGACTCTACGAGCGACCGACAGGATGGAGGCTGACCTCGGTCCACGGATCGGCACGGCCTTTGGTCCGACCTGTCAACTGCGGTCAACCGAAGAAGAGGGGCTGGGGAGGACCACTACACGGACCAGTACACGGACTCACAAGCTCTGTGGCAGCTCAGGTACTCAAAGAAATTTCTATTCGAATCTTAGGGAAAGATGGCCACATTAGCTTGCAACACAGAGTGCTAAATGATACAAAAATAATGCAAAGGTCGGCCGACTTCGTATGCTAATAGTACAGGTACGTGGCAGTACTTATGAGGAACCTGATCCAACTCGACCCGACCATCCTCGCCTTGATCTAGCATGTGCGGAGGTATGTTGCCAATGAGCTGCACCATACCTGCACTGGCGTGCACTGG